GTGCAGAAGTGCTGGCGCTGCCAGCACTTTCAAGCTCCTCCTTATTGACCGCCCTCAAACGGACGGGTCGTCAAATATGCGCGTCGCGCGTACTACTACTACTACTACTACTACTACTACTACGACGTTCCTATTCTATAACACTACTTTCATGGCGATACTCCTGGAGTTGCAACGGATTTGCATCGTCTACGACAACCGAGAAGCGATACGATCTTGCATGGCGTGGCCGCCGATGCAACACGTAGTGTCGCCAGCCCTGGGGGCATCGGTTCTGAGTAGGTTCAAAGCACTTTGTCCGGGGTCGGTTTATATGCTGTTCCATCCTGTCAAACATTTTTCTGCGGAAAACCTTCACATGCGCAGCAGGTTGAGGTTTCTGTCTTCAAGTGATACCAACTAAGAGGGCACAAAGTATGAGGGTTCCTTTCATGCTTATTAGGCACACCCCTAAGCTCCGAAATGCCAGAAAGCAAAGACGTTCATATGCATCCACCAGCGAAGACACACAAAATACCCGTTTCGTGTTATGGAGATGCTTCAGGACTGGTTATCTTAAATCCACGGGCTTCAAAGTTTGCGCAGGGGTGCCTGCATGTATTGTAGTTGGAAGGCTGAAACAAGGTGGCACGCCTACATACGCCTGTGCCCTGCATTTTCGCGCTAGCAAAAAAATGGTTGGGGACATGGCCCGCTTGAAACACCCGGGTTTGTAGGATTTCAAGGCAAGGGGTCTGTTCAAGACGAGAGCAGCAACATTGAGACAGGTCACTATGTTCGCGGGTTTTGTGGGTTCGGCTATAGCAAAAACACCGATCTAAAACTGCAAAAAACCCAAACTTTGCGGAGGACCAGAAGTCATGACTTTCATGTCACGTTATGCTTCCAAATGAATACTGAGTGCTTTAAGCACAAAAGCGAACCACATAACACTCGCTGAGGTCGATTGGGGGCTTTAAGCATGAAGAGGGCGCTAAACAAAACTTGCTATGGACTACCAGAAGCTTTAAGCATAAAGCGGGGACAACATAGAATAATTCTTGCTAACGGATAGAAGATTACATGTCTTGGGATGGGTTGTGTCTGCTGTTGCCAGAAGGGGTTGAAAT